AATCTCATTTTATGAGTTCATTTTCGATCCCCTTGGCAATGAGACCAAAATAGTTAAAATGTATTTTTTGGAAGAAAGACTATAAATATTATTTTAAATGAAATCTCAATATTTTAAGTACATCCAGGACTGTTCTAGTTGAAGGAATTAGTTCATCATAGTTGTACATGTTCATTTTCCTACACAATTTTTTAAAGAAATATGATTAGAATTTACCCAGCATAAATTATTTGTTCTCATTACTTGCTACTTTTGGTGGCTGATGTATCTCAATAAATCAACAGTTATGTAGCTTTAAAAATTCTAATGTTCTGATTGCATGTAAATGATTAATATATTGTGATTTATCTACAATATTTAGATTAAATATAAAATATCTTGATTAGATATTTCTTATTAAAATAATACCAGGACTATTAATAAGAATGCTTAAGTAAATGCATTTGGAGAGTATGCTCACTGACATTTGAAAAGGATGTTTCCTAATATAAATGCAAACAGCAGACAGTTTTAAATGCCTTTTTGAAAAGCAATATTAATAATCTGAGATTTAATTTTTTACTTGTTATCTCTTATGATCATACTTTTATTGAGAATACAGAATTAATCTGAGAAAGTGAGAGTTAGTACAAGTGTAAAGAGTGTGGAGTTGTACTGTTTTTATTTTTATCTAAAAAATATATTGCTTTAGTCTTTACACTTTATTATGTAAAAACCAAACATCTTGGAAAATCAGGAGAGGATAAAAATCCTTATATAATATTTTTCTGGTAGTATAAAATATTACCTGACCAAATTTGAATTATGTATTAGAATTTATTTTTAATAATTCTAGCTTAAACCTTTATTTAGCTCACAAACAATTCATTTCAACCACCCAGTCAAGACGTTTCCCCAGAAGTAATGCTAGAAATAATCAAGACGTGCAAGCTCAGGTTTGTTTTCAGAGATGTTCTTCAGAGTGTTATTTAAACTAATAGTCAATAATATAGAAATGTTTGACTTAAGTGTTGCGTATATGAAACACATACTAAGAATCAAATTTTGGTTAGTAGTTAGTGGTCAGTGAAATGTTAATGACACAAGTCAGATGAAATTCAGACGTACAGGCCTATATATAAGCCTGCTTATTCTTAGATCCATGAGTATAAATCTCTGTCTATAAGCATAAGCACACGTACACATACACATATATGTATACATACACACACACACACACACACACACGTTGATGAAAATAAATCTTGGAAAGAATTATGCAGAATGTTAATAGGAGAACTAAGGTTGTTTTTCAAATTAAATATACAAACATAGTAAC